GGTTGGAGCTCGAGGTAAAAATTTCCATAGATTTATCATAACCAAATTAAGTTTATAATTAAAAACTGGAGTTTTGTATAGACGTAATTTGAATATGTAAATAATATTATTCTTCGTATTGCTCCTTATGGAAAAAAAACACTATATTTTCAGTAGGCATTCTTTAAGATCGCATGTGTTCGCTAATTTAAGTTTGTCAAGTTATTATAAATTAGAAAAAACATGAGGAAAAAGTGTAATATAAGAAGATGTGGATGTATCATGAATTGTTTTTTTATTTTACTTATAATGTCTTATGAAAATTAATAAATAAATATAAGCTTGTGTACGAGAGGAGTATCTTTCGTTATATTTTTAAATTTAAAAGCTGAAATATATTTTACGATTTACTATCTACTATATACTTTTTTACACGGGAACTCTTTCATTTTCCGGGATGAACTTTAATCTAAAATGTTGACCGGGGATATATGGTACTATCATGCAAAATTTCATTCAAATCGGTCCAACAGTTTCGGAGATTAGCCCGTACAGACAGACAAACAGACAGAGACACAAAAAAATGGACATCATCTGGATTTGTTCTATTTCTCTTCTTACATCCTCCTGACTCGGTTTTTAGCATTTTTTTTCTGTGTACAAACATTAGACCTCTACAGTTTTATTATATGTATAGATAGATATTATGGAATATTTTCGATTCCAAGCTTTGTAATATTAGCGATCCTTCGGGGCCTAGACAAGCTATCATTCTATTCACATATTGTCTAAGCTCCCTATTTTTGTAGTATTTTTGTAATACAAACCTATTTTATGCTATTAATTAATGAATATCTTAGATGAGTAAGCAAATATAATATTTTACTTTTTACTAATATTTTACTTTTGTCCTAACAAAGTACTTAAGTTAACACTTAACACTCAGTGCTGAACCCTCTGTGTTCGACTTAGACTAGCACATGTCTGATTTTTCTATACATATACATATATCATTAATAGTTTTCTAAACATTTGCTGGAGTAATAAGATTTCGGCAATAATAAACAGAATAAAGATTAATTGAAGCAAGTATAGAAGCAACGGTTTATCATTATTTGCACAGCTAATGGAATAATTACCTTCGTGGAGAGGATAATTGCGAAGGCGACGAGTGCTCCTACACGCCGTAACGAACCCTGAATTGTTTACGCTTTAAACCACAAACATACACGCATTGTTTTGTACGAGTAAGAGTTATATCAAAAATGAGCATTTGAATTTGCTTTAAAATTGTAAATTAATAATAATGAAATTTGTAGTCATATATAAAATCCATACTAATATTATAAATGTGAAAGTGTGTTTGTTTGTTTGTCCTTCTTTCACATCGAAACGGAGTTACAGATTGGCGTAATTTTTTGTGTGGAAATAGTTGGAGGGCTGGAGAGTGACATAGGCAATTTTTTACCGCGGAAGATTACTTATCTCATTCCCATGGGAAAACACGTTATAATACAAGTCGAAAAATTATTTATGATCAGAATTTCATAAAACTTGGTATTAATTATTAAATATTAATGCTCTTCAACACAATTAAATAAAAGTGTTTTTTAGCTTTTTTCGAAATTCATCCCATAAGGGGGTAAAGAAGAGCGAAGCGCGAGCGCAGCCGCAGGTTCTGCTAGTTGAATATATTTTTGTTTGTTAGTGACAGATTTATATCACGCCCGAGAAGGTTTCTGACATAATACCATCAACTTATGATGGCGTGGGAGTTATAGGCGAAGCCTAAGTCACTGTCGAAAAAGAAAAAAACTATATACGAATATATTGATAATTAAAAATGAACTTTATAATTCAATTATTAAATGTATGCAATAAATATCCTTATTAGCCTCGTCCCCAGTAGTAACAACATATTATGTACCTAAAAAAACAACAGTTTCCTCTGGTAGTTTCACATTTTATGCTTATCAAATGGAGTTTATTAAAAATATTTCAGCAACATTCTTATCACATTATCTCTTAATCTAAATACAAGTGAAATCAATTTGAAGCTCGTAAGGCAAAACGGAGGCACCTAAGAGTCCCTAAAAGGTTCGAAGGCAGGCGTCCCTGTTGCCCGTCTAGTTCGCTTGTGCCCGTTTATAAACGGTTTTATTGCTTTCGGAGCAACCGAACATTATTAAACTTTTCCAATTTCGATTTATCACGTAGCTGTCGGAATTTAATACCGCCCTACCTTCGGCGGAGGCGATCGCCTGCCGCGTGATTACAATACACATCGTTAATAATACGAGCGGAGTCGGCGCGACTCGAGGAGCGCAGTTGGTGCCGATTATGACATGATGGACCATGCTGCGGCCTTTTCACCCATCAACGAAGCGAAAAATGAACACAATTTAATTATATCATAACTTAGTGTAATATTTGCCCCCGCACTTATACAGTATAAAGTGTTTTTCATATAAAACTCCCTTATATCGCTGCGCGGTATGTTTCAGTAGCGAATTTCATAACAAAATGAAGTCTCATATCAGCACGGGTTAAAATTATGAAGCTAAAACTGAAGGTTATTGAAAACGTGACTTACATTTATATGGGTCATATGAAATGAAATTTCATAGGTACATACGTGTATGCGAACTGTATTTTATTAGCAGTAAAATAAAAATATTCCAATCCGTTGCTTTTGTGTATTTATTATTCATGTTATATTTTATTTATAAAGAAAAAGGATTCAAATTAGTATGGTATATTCTTACTTTTAAAATGAAAGTTATTTAATCCTTGACAGATTAAGATGCTGTAGGAGGTATAAAGACGTTCCGACGACACCTGTACACGATACCAGTATAGTGTGTAAACGTGAGGTTAGCGCGTGGTCGCGAACAGGCGTATAGTCAGAGGTCGGGGATGCAATCTACTCTCATTCATAGGGCCAATCAAGTACCGACCCACCGCCACCCGCTTAGTGTACCTCCACCCAAAGCAGGACCGCATCTTGTGAATAGTAACATTGAAAATATACACGTTTATGTACGTAAATTATGTAATACTTTTGTTCCAAAAATAATAAAATCACCGCCATTAAAAAATACTTTTAAGATATTTAATATGTATTCCAATTGATTTAAATAGTTGTCCTATTTCTATATTGCATCTTATAGCCATATTAAGATATCATATAATAAATAAAATAAACAAGCTTTTAAAAAATGATCCTAAATTATGATTTATTTACGTCATATCAAATCCGGCCCTGGTGCTCGAGCTCACGTACGACCGCTCGTAAGTTCAATGGAGGTGTTGATTAAAAATATTTCCCATGTGCGGGTGGATAAGACCCAATTGGGCAAGCAATCAGCCGCCCGCCCTCGCGACCATCTACCGCTAATCATGCGCGGCGGTGCTTGCCGCTCGTTCTGCACTCTTTGTTTATCGGCACGATACTTTTTACCTCTGTTATTTGCGAAAGTTACTGGTTATTGTTATTTTGGTTGTTGTTTGCTTGTGAATTTTATTTAAATAACCTCTAATAAAATTAACATGAAACGAAGTTCTATTAAAAACGGATTTGTTTTGGGTTAGCTTTTTAAAATAAATTTTAATATAGGGCACAAACATGATATTAGTAGAATTTAAAGATATTGTTGTCAGCATTTTCAGTTCAAATTCATATTGTAGGTTTTTCTTTAAAATGTGTATATATTTTGAAAGGTAAAATGTAGCACGTGAGCATGCGAATTCGGTAGCCAAATATTTTCCATAGCCGAAACTTCGGCTTGCACAAAGCGTGCCAGCTTCGGCAAAAACAATGGGTTGCGCTTCTCAGAGTGTATTTAATTGGAGTGGTCACAATGATTATTCTGATAGTTAACACTAGAAAGAAGTAGTGCCTTTTAGTGAATAGAGCATTTTACTTCATACTTGAATATTAAATACATATGATTATTATCATACAATCTATATTTATATCTATATATTGGCTACACTTGTTTGGCTAATTATTTTTTGTTGTGTTTTTTTAATTGCCAGGACAAGGTTTGGGTGAAAGAAATGTTTGAAAAATTGTAAGGAAAAGTAAAAATTTGGGTTAAAAAGTGAAATAGTGAGTCGACAGATTGACGCTCAGTTGCTCAGTTTTTTCATCATGACAACAATATTTAAAAAAGAAATTATCAGTTTTGTAAAAATGTAATTTATACATATACTAACTAACATTGCCCGCGGCTCCGCCCGCGTTCAGATGACTAAAAAGCAAATTCTTAGGTTTTACATATTAGTATACTCTTACAATGCGATTTTTGTTTTTTTTCTCAGAAATAAGATATTTTCCGGCGGTATAAAATATCCTATATAACCGGATAAACAGCTATTACCATACCAAATTTCATCAAAATCCCTCCAGTGGTTTTTCTATGATGCGGTAACAGAGAGACAGACAAAAATTCTAAGAACTAGATTCCACTTCTGTATCGATAATAATGTCTATTTCAGTAAGATTTTCCAAAAAATATTTAATGTACAGATTCGATTTAGTTATAATTTTATTATACTTATGTACCTATAAATATAATATCATAAGGAGGTAAAATTTGTGAGTTTGTGAGGTTGTAGAGGTTAATCTCTGGATCTACTGAACCGATTTAGATGAAATTTGGTAAGAAGATAGTCTGAGACCTTGGGAAGGACATAGGATTTTTTTATCCCGAAATCATGCCTTAAGAGAGTGAAAATGGGGATGAAAGTTTGTATTGAGTCGCTAGTATATCATAGTTATAACTTTTTAACACAAATTATAAAATATCCTGCAACCATAAACTCATAAGCCATTATGCATAATTACTTTCTTACCATCGTCAAATGCTTATTTGATCACCTGAAGAATCATCAGAAGTCAGAACATATCAAATTCAAAGTTATGTTATTGAACAAAAACAAGATTCTTAACAAAGTTCGCTATGCATCAATAATTCTTCAATAACAAGTATCGATAATAAATAATAATTATTAATTTAAATCGATAAGTGGAAATGATACATCGAAATTGCACTGTCGTATGATAAAAAAGCTGATCCAGAAAATGATTGCTGTTTCTGAACGCACACATTAATACGATTATTTCTCGTAAAAAACTCTGCAGCGCCGGTTGGAACATTGCGGGATTTTTTCTTTTGATCTAAATTCATTAGAAAATGCGCGCACGTCGTATCCGTCGTATGCGCCGCACGAATGTCGCGCATCGCGATGCCGCGGTTTTTGCGCGTCACTGTGTCTAACGAGATTGAAATAACCATTTGCCTTTCGGACTGAGTTCTACTTCAAAGAATTAAAATAAAAGAATCAATAAAATGTTTCCTATTTAATTCGACGTATTTTATCATTACTGGAACAAGGAGTACTCTCGTCAAGAGTCTTTGCCATATTTGGTTAAAATTGGTTCAGATATTCAACATTTTTGGCCTTCATTGAATTGAAAGGATAATCCAGTTGCTAATTGGAATTTTTTTAGTAGTTTTTCTAGAAACATTTTTATTTTGTTCTTAAGGTTACCGTGAAAATAATATAACCCCACCGAATTAAAAAGCCGGTTTTTTAACTTTACATTTTTCACATTTTTGATCTCTATCTATCTACTATCTACGTGCTTATTATGCTAACAGTTTACATCTACTTAATCAATAGGAAACTTCGATCGAAACTAGCGGTCTTTATCCGGAACTCGCTGAATACAGATTAAGCACCGTTTACTTTATTGAAGCACCTACTTATTGTTGATATAGTTGGTTTTTATGCATCCTACCTTCTAAGGATTCAGTGCAGCTGTTCAAACGGGTTCTTGCCATATTCAACTCAGAAATGTGGTAATTCCTTTTGATCCGCTTTAATTAGCTACGTTTCATTCGATTTTACTGTTATCTGTTGGAGCTAATATCTTTAAGGCAATATTACAGCTTTATATGCTGATGTAGTAATAAGGACAATCACTTTAATTGTTAAACGGTTTTTTATATATTATTTTCAAGTATATCAGAATATAAACAAATGTATTATCTTTATAATTAGTGTGGGCTCAATATACATACGTGATTGGTATAAGTAGGCATAACAATTATCACAAATACATTATATTGTAGATTTATTATAAATAAGGAGTATAGATTCAATAGTTAAATATAATTTACAATATTTGTAGAAGCTTAATTACCATCTGAAAGCAGTTTTTGTTCTTTAATTAATTATTTAGCGCATTCAAGCACTGAATTGCATGGATATCATACAATTAATATTCGCGTAATATGTACATAGACACAGGAAGCAAAACAAAGATGAGTGATGTTTTTAAAATAAGATTGTTTAAATAGACAAAAGTCACACAAAAATCATTTTGAAACGAAATTTTGATTATACCTACTGAGCTGTTTCTACTGTTTGCATTGTAGCCTACGTACTTAGTTCTTTGTTACGGACTTACCTAACTACGAGTAATTAAACAAGAGCGCGGGAAGCTGAATTGGGGAATACCGTTATGGCTTGCCATTGGAGTTATCTTAAACATTTACTAGGGTTATCTCGACAGAGTTAGTACATTAATTATGTTTATGGAACGAGCGATTAAAATAGTCGCGCCGCGTCGTTAACGTGTCCGCATCGCATCGTTAACGCGTCCGCACCGCATTCTAGTTACCTTATGAACGTTAAAATCGTATACCTAGTTTCTTATTCTACCTAACGATTTTAATAGCAAAGATAATAAATATATAGATTGTACTAAGCGTTATATACGTACTCACTAAAGAGTTAATTTACTCAACCATCTTCTTGTATGTAACCTCGCTAAAAACGATGATATCGTTAGATTCGCATTTTACGCGTGTCAATCGATGGTTTATAATATCACTTTATAGTTAAATGGTTGAGGATTTATTTCATAGCAAATAAAGTTTCTGAAACTGTACCTTATTAAGCTGATAGGAATATTACCATGATCTCAAAACGGAGGCGAGCCGGATGCAAGTGCGTTTATAGTGGTTAATAATAAGTAATCATTCACTTTACTTCCGACGTAGTAAGCAGGAAACAAGATGTCTGCCGTGATAGTCACGTATTTTTTTTAAAAGCAATGGTATTATTGAAATTCATTTTATTACATACATGTTTCGTTTCAAGCTTTATTATCATAATGAAATCAATTGTAAAATGAGAGCGATACTGTCATTAAAAAGACATATAATACAACTACAGTTTTTACGACTAATAAATTTTGGCACAGTTAAAGATACGAAGACATTTTGAAAACTTGTTTCTTTAGATTTTTATGTTTTCACATGCACTCCTGAATCCATTATGGAAGCGATTTATATTTTTTTTATGAAAAAAATAAAAAGACAATAATTTTATTCTGCTTATGTTTTCGGCAATCATAAAGAAATTTTAATGTAAATGACTTAAAACCCATTATGTCAAATTTTATCTAAAGATTACAATTAATTATTGAACTTTTAAAATTTTAATACCACTTAAGATTAGTATAAAACTACCTTAATAATAAAAAGTCTTTTACTGTGTAGGTACTAACAGATTTTATATTTATTTATTACGTGCTTAGGGTTCCGTACCTCAAAAGTTGAAAAAAGGAACCCTTATAAGATCACTCTCTTGTCCGTCTGTCCGTCTGTCTGTCTGTCTATCCGTGTGTCACCACCGATTTTCTCATGACCGGGTGGACGCAAGTTGAAATTTATTCCAGATACTGAGGTCTATCCCTATTAGGTGTATAAAAATCGAGGTCCTGAGTCAACACGATAAAAAGATATGGGCAGATTTAGATTTTCGCGAAAGCTTGTAAGTTCTAAAATTCAGCTTAATTTTCAACTTTTTTTATTTTTCGGAATTTTCCCTTTACTTGTGCTGAAACATCTTGTTTTTAATCAAAATTGACAATTCTAGGTCAAAGGAAGTACCCTATAGGTTTTGGGTCGAAAACCTATATGGTAGTTCCCGTTGACCTTGAAAAAAGCAAGGTCTTACAGCACAAATAAAGAAAAAATTCCAAAAAAATAAAAATAAAGTTAAACAGATGTCCTACAAATTTGTACGGAGCCCTCGGAGGGCGAGTCCGACTCGCACTTGTCCGTGATTTTTTATAATTTAAAATCAGTGATATGCCTCAGCTGCACTTATGCACTAACTGTATTTCACGCGTCACTTTACTTTAGAACATCAAGATCATGAACGAATTTGGCTAATTCGTTCATGATCAAGATCTATGAATTAATTTTAATGTAATATAGATAGACAACTTATACACATTCTGCAAACTTGAAATTGATGGCAGGTAGATTCTTCTAAGAGAGGAGATTCAAGCTCTAAAGGCTTAAAAAAGGGATTTTCTCCTCGGGGCTGTACTTAAAAAAGTAAAGGAGCGGAGTCGCGAGCAAATAGTAGTATATAGACTAAAACTGCCCTAAAGACAGATTAAGTTTTAGTAGTTCAGTTTTGGAGATAATGATAACAATTTAAATAAGGCCCGAAGCCACAGTGAAATGTAGCATTGAATAAAATTATACGAGGGAAGACCTAATTAGGTATGATTAAAAACTTTACATGCGTAATAAGATCTCGTTTTACTGCTTCATTAAATCGTTTTCCAGTGTTATCTAAAAAGTATCGAGAAGTATTAAAAGCATATAATTTAAGAATTCAGCCGTATAAGCGTAAAGGGAAAAGTTTATGTATAAGAAGTTTTAACGAATGAGTTTTACCACCTACTCGTATACGAATAGAGACGAGAAGTGAAATGGAGTTAAGTGGTCTAATGTATGTCCATAGTCGACGTCTCGAAGCAACACTTTTAATGGATACTGTCAGTTTTTGCTTTTATTTATATACGCTATTTATATAATAAAATGTTTACGAAGACTCTGATCCAGCTAATGGTCCAAGAGATGACTGTAAGATATTACATCACTCTTTTGCTGTGTGGTAAGTTTTTAATGACATAACGATCAATTATGTAAATTTTAATTCATTTTATTTCGTCATTTAACGTTTACCAAACTAATATTTACTAAACGAAAAAGTATTTCTTTAATTTTAGTAGACAAAAAGCTTATTGGTCTTTTTTTACATTTTCTCAACTAAATAGAAAAATATTTGTTAGTTGGTAAATGGATGAGATTGAATGTGTGGCTTAAAGGTAGATGTCTTGAAAACAATTAAAGTTGTACAATGAAAATGTTACACACAACGCTTAGCGGCGAGCCATTGTGTCGCTATGAGTATTAATCGAATAAGTCGACCTGCGAAAGCTATAATAGTGTTTACACTTTACAGTCACTTGATGTGCCAGCTATGTAATATTTTGGTTTGTTTGAGTGGTTGGTTTGTGCTAACTAGTTCGAAATGCGAAAGTTTGTAGGTATATCTGTTTCCTTATGAAGGCCAAAATGCCGAACCCATTTCGATAAACTTAACATAGGGCTAAGAGAGGAAACAAGATTTTTCTTGTAAAGCCTCTGGCATAAAGTACCTAACGATTCCTTTTTTTTTAAATACATGGTTTGACTGGGATGATTATAATATATGTATATAGGAAATTAGTACGTACTTATTCACTGTACATTTCTTTATTCTACATTAATAATACAAAGCTAATTGTTATTAGATTAAACCCATAATCCTAATAACTTAACGTATGCTAGAGTTCGAAGCCGGTGCGGGCCCGTTAATACACCGAGCTCGCGTCGGATAGGTCGCCAAAGTGTGTTAATTAACTGGGAGCGTGTAAGGCGACGCTCACGGCCGCTCTAATTGCGCGATTATTCCTCCGCGACGCCTAACTGCTGGATGAAATTTAATTAAAGTTTGTTGTTCAAATAGATTTAATTAAAGTAATGTTGTAGCGAGTGGCGCGCCGACGCCGAGCCGCGCGGCTCAATCCGCGTGAGTGCTGCGCAACTTTTCTAATTCATTACTTCTGAAAGCGTTCCCGTGACGCCGAGCACTCTTAATAATTTGTATTGTATAGTTATAGCCGTTTTAGTGAGATCTCGGCGAAAGTTAGGCGTACGTTGGTCCTCCACTAGCTAACCTAGTTCTTTTGATATCTCTTTCAACCTCGAAGTATCTTCTAATTTTTTTTATCGTTTTGACCTAGTCCTTTTTGTTTCATTATTATAATATTAATATTTTTTTATAATCTCTGCAATTGTATAAGTGAGAGGAGGAGCATTGACTGAATTATTAATACATCAATAGTAAATTACACGATATTTCTCCATTAGCGAGACAGTCG